AAAAAAATCGGGGGTTTTTTTTTTTTTTTTTTTTTTTTTTTTATTTATTTTGCCAAAACTTTTTTTTCAAATGATAAAAATCAATTATTTAGAATTTTGTAGGGTTAATTGTTCAGTAAGAAGATTTAATGAGATTTTTAAACACCCGGTAATAATTTGATAAAATGGGCTCTAATAATAATAATTATAAATAATGAGTAAACACTAAAAAGGATAACGAGGCTGGAAGGATAGCTAAAGCCCACCACAAAGCAATTAATCAGGTTATATTATGAGATTCCGAGGGATTTTATTTATATTATTTTTTTGTTTAGTGATTTTTATATTATATTAGTGACTAAATTGGGCGTTTTATTAATACTTTTTGTCTTTTACACAGGCTAGAGCATCATCACTGCAGAACTGCGTTATTATTATACGTATTATGCGCGATCTTTGTAATCGTGTACCTACATGGGGACCACTTAATCCATGGGTAATTATTATTATTTTATTTTATAACATAATTATTGACAAATTAAAAATTATTACATCAGATTTTTTTTATAGAGAATTTTATTCTCCACAAAAAAAAGATCCTTATTAATTTTGTCCTATTTCTCATTCTTTTTCTAAAATTTTGATTTAAAGTTCAAAAATAAAATGATTAAATCTGTCCCTAGCTTTCAAAAGTTAAAATTGCTAATTTTGGCTAAAATATAAAAACACAATAAAATTATAAGAGACTTTTTATAGAAAATTTAATTCCCTACAAAAAAAAGTTTCTATCAATTTTGCCCTATCTCTTGACCTTTTTCCAAAATTTTAATTGAAAGTTCAAAAATTACGTTGTAAAATTTATCCATAGTTTTCAAAAGTTTTAAAAGCTGATTGTAGCGAAAATATTTAAGATACAAAAAAATCACAAGAGATATTTTTGACATAATTATACATGATGATACCGATGACGAGTCTGAGTGTGTCTCAATAGTTATTACCAACATATTAATCAAGTTTTTTGGTTTTTATCGTCGGTAGTAACAAAATTTTGACACTGCCTAGATGACCTGGTAGCCTGATTCTTTAAATCAATTTTATAATTAATTAATTAGCTGATTAATTTGAAGATTTATTGATAAATTTTTCTTTTTTCAGGCACTGGAACTGCTCACTGAAAAAGTTATCAACACTGCTGGTTGTCCATTGAGTCTTGGAGAAGCTCTACGGCGTTTACTTGAATGTGTAGCTGGTGGTATTTTATTACCAGGTTCTCCAGGTAATTTAAAATAATTAATAATGATGAAGTAAAAGCCTCCATTATTGTCACTATAAGAACGATCATGAGTATTTGAATTTTTTTATCGTAATTCAAATCGATGTATGTCTTATTGACAGCGCTAATAATTCAAAGAGCCGATTATTTACATATCATTGACCATATTATTGACCGGTCGTTTATTACAGTTGAATTTATATTAACAATAATCATTTTTATTAACTACTATAAAACTATCAATTATTTCTGTTATTTTAAAATTCGTTTGTGTCCAGGATAGTCAAATGATAAAATCGGTTTTGTTGAGTGAAATTTCGTGTCATTGCAAAAGTCATGACTTGGATTTATGCCTTTTCAAGGTTTCATTTAATTCGCACCGTTTGTCAATTTATTATGATAAGTATTTAGGCTACATTCGAAAATGCTCTATTTCCAGATACATAATTGAGAAATGACCTTGTATCTTGAGAACTATTGACATTTTTAAGGATATAAGCTCATCCTGATGTTACACTCATCGAGACCTTTCATTTGAGTATCCACATCAATTTTTCATATATTTCATATATATATAT